ATTCTATTTTCCCACTTCTCTCTCTGTGTTCCTACAGCTGTCAACTCAAGTCACCCTGAAATGATTCCACCTTCCTATTCCCCTTTACACATACTCTTAGTTCCTGACGAGGAAGCAGGGCGGGGGCAGGAAATCCCTACCCTGGCATTCGCTGGTAGAGAAGGAAGTTGGAATTGTGAGCTTTCGCTGTGACTTATAGTCCAATAAAAGATAGCTACAATTTTTTGATTGCCTGTAAGTTTTGCTACTTCGTGTCTGTTGTACATGGGCTGTGGCCGACTGATAGCCCAAGTCTACAGATGTCAACTTGACTCAGCTTGGAAGGGGAGAGCTGGGGTCAGTAGCGCCAGGCACACGAAGGCTGGGGTGTTGTGTTTTCCTTTTTCATCTCTTCTAGTTTACCAGGCAGTGGAGAGAAACGTTCTCCAAGAATAGTGCACGCTGTCAAGCTCTGTTCCCTATTTTGAACAAAGCCAGGCTGCCCCCATGAACTTGAGTATGTTCTCCTACATTTCACGCCATGTCTTATCACAAGTGTTCAAGTTCTCAGAACAACTTGAAGCTCAAATTGGGCCTTGCTACTCCTGAACCAGGCCTGCTTCAAAGCCTGCAAAATGCTGGCCGCTCACCCACATTGGGCTTTTTTATAAAACCACGGAGGTATGTCCTCATGAACACTCACTGATATGCACTTGATGTTGGGGTAATTTTAAAGGCATTTTGGTTGACTTTTCCATGTAGTTATTGACTTTATTACTTTTCACCATACATATTGACTATTTCAGATAATGGACATGTGTTTTCCGCTATAGTTATTTAGTGAAATATAAAGAAACAAATATATTGACTACTTAGCATAGTCTTAAACTACTCAGACTGTGAGTCCTCAGGGTAATATGAGAAAAATCATAAATTAATGAAATGTCCAATTACCTTAAATTTCTGATAAACAAGGACCACCCTCACCTACCAGATCAGACCCTTAGGAAACCAACCAGGGAAATACAGGTGCCCCAAACCTTCCATGACTTTTAACCCTTGAGAAATGAAAAGAATGTTTTGCCACTTTGCTTTATACATTCACAACTGCACTTCAACAGAGGTGGATAGAGACCACACCTCCCTAACCATGGCCATCAGCTCGGAATCTCTCATCATCCAGTCCCAGCTAGTCCCTCTCATTCTTTGACATTCTAGATCCTGGCTCAATGTTAGTGTTGATAGGCTTTCTAGTGATTTCACTGACCCTAAAGACGGTCATTTCCCTGCACGTCATCTCAGTTTCTTGACTTCTCCTCAACAAATTTTGTCTTCAGTTCCATCTCAGCCACCCTTTCCGTAGGGACACACCTTAGACTTGGTTGCTGCCAATGCCAATCTTTCCCAAACCTCAATTTCAGGCTCCCCCTTCCAACCACCGCATTCGACCCTTCCAGCTTACTCCATGACCCTTACTCCAGCAATCCTTTGGATCCCTCTGCGCTATCCCATCCACCTCATCTCACTATCTCCGAAACGCCCCACACCTTTACTTTCTCTCCAACTCAGGTCCACGTCCAAGTCGCATCCTTGCCATCTCACTGTGCACTGCTCCTCGGCTTCGCAGCTTTCTTTCTCAGCCAATGCACTAAACCCTGCGCTGCTCTGCCTGCTGAGCTGGGAGAGAAAGAGACTCAGGCTGATCGTCTCGATTTAAATTGATCAGCGCTAATGCTGTCAGGCCACCATGGTGTCTCTCCTAAAACGCTGTCTCCACAGGTTGCCAATGTCTCCTTCCCATCTTCATGAAAAGCTGGTGGCTTTGCTCCCGGTTTTACTGAAAACAGGAAGCTCTCAAGAGAACTTCTACAAGGTGTCACCCCCAGCCCATCAAACTACCCGTCAGCCTCAGAGGGCCTATAGTCTGTCTCTTTTCATAAGAGCCCTCTTCTTGAGTGCTTCTTGGGTCCTCAAGAAAGCACTTCTCTCTTCTGCAGTGTTCTCTTATCAAAAGAATTTTCCCTTCGGCATATACATTTACACTCATTTCATTCAGGTTCGAAAGCCCCTTCTCTGACGGACCTTGCTCATCCAGCTGCCACCCCGTTCTTCTGCATCTCTTTATAGCAACAGCCATCAAAAGAGATGCTTCCGGTTCCCCTCCGCTCACTCTCTTTTGAATCTGTTCCAGCCATATTTTGACTCCTACCGTTCAAAATCATCAGTGACCACGGTGTGCCTAACCAGGATGGCAACATTTTGGGACCTTTGATATTTGTAACTTCAGTGCTGCCCGTCGACCCCTAGGGCTTTCTTCTGAGGCTGTTCTGAGTGGACTCACCCACCAGCCCTCTGGTTATTAGCTGAGTGTGTTAACTATTTATAGCACTCAAGGACCCCTTCACCTGCCTATTTGTTATCTCTACTTGTGTGTCTATTAGCTGTCTCAAGCTTAATGTATCCAAAAATAAAATTCCTAATCTTTTTTCCTCCTCACACTTCTCCTCCTCATGTCCCCCTGACTTATGCATAGCATTTCCACTCCCCCTTCCCTGTTTTGATTCCGCTCAGGCCAAACAAGAAAAGTAAGACAGGAGCCTTGGAGTCGGCCTCAACTTTCGTTCTTTTTCCCTCACATTCCACCAGAAAACCCCCAGGTCCTATTTTCAAAACACAGCCCTGACCTGACCACTTCTCACTGCTTCCTCAGCTACCTTCAGCTCCAGGTCACAGGGATAGTTAGGATGGTACTGACGGCCTTAACACCAGACACTGCTTTTTCTCATGTCTGGGAGATACTGGAAGCTTCAGACTGCCACAAATCTCACATGCAACCTCACCACTTCAGGTTTTATCACATTCACCGATGCTGATGAGATGGCTATTCCCATTTAGTCTTCTTTCAAAATTCGGCTCAGTAATCATGCATTGGGCTGCTAACTGCAGCGTCAGCACTTTGAAACTGCCAGCTACTCTGAGGGAGAAAGGCAAGGCTTTTTACGCCTGTAAAGATTACAGTCTTTGGAGTCTACAAGGGCAGGTGTACTCTAACCTATAGGGTTGCTATGAGTTGGACTCAACGAGATGGTAGTGAACAATAATTTATAAAAAAGTAAAAAGAAAAACAAATAATATATATACATATACACATGTATGTTATATATGTATATATATACACACACACACGAGGGGGTGCTCCCCAAAATGGGAATTTTTTTTTAAAGCTATGTATTTAAAAGTTTATTTATTTATTTATTTACTTATTTATTACAAAAGAGCCTTATCCCCTTCAACGTACTCTCCATTACACTTAATACATTTGTCAAATCTGCAATTCCATTCTTGGAAACATTTTTCAAATTCATGTTTGAATGGCTAACAGCACCTCCCTCATTTTTTTCTTCACCTCTTCTATGTCGTCAAATTGTTGTCTTTTCATGTCTCTCTGCATTCATGGAAACAAATAGATGTCACACAAAGTGAGGTCAAATGAGTCAGGTGTGTGGGGCAAGAGAGGCATGCTGATTTTTGCCCCAACTGACACACTGAGATGGTTGCATGAGTAGGTGCATTGTCGTGGTGGCTAAACCAGTTCCCCATCTGCCACCAATCAGGCCTTTTTTGTCACACACTATTACACAATCTTTTCAGAACCTCTAAATAGAAAACTTGATTAACAGTTTCACCTGGTGGAGTGAACACCACATGCACTACAAGCAGACATTTTAGTCTGTTCAAAAGTTGACAGACGTCCAGAATGGGGTTTGGGCACCAACCAACATTTCACCTTTTTTGAAATGAGAAAACCAATTGTATACTTGAGTTTTTCCCATAGTTTTTCCCAATAGTTTCTGCAGTGTTTTTCCTTAGCAGGAAACAAAATTTCACAGCCACACACTGTTCTCTTAAATCAGCCATCACAAAATATGAGGTTCGAGAGAAATGGCTTTTTATGAAAAAAGTCACTGTGACCACAGAGAACCTTTCCAGGTGACACCACTGTGTGCACTAACTTAGAGTGAGTTGCTTGATGCTCGCCTAGTAGGAGGAATACTATTAAAGCTCCACTCTGCCCAGTGCTATTTATTTATTTATTTATTTATTTATTTTTAATTGGGGGTGGTGGTGGTGGTGGTAACACCCTCGTATATCCCACCTGTCTCTAAAGTACTTAAGGTAGATATAGAAGAACAAGGTAGCCCTGGTAAAGTGGGTTATGCACGGAGCAACTAACCACATGGTTAGTGGTTCAAACTCACGAGTCACTCCTTGAGGGAAAGATGAGGTTGTCTTCTTATCATAGATTTAAAGTCTCAGAAATCCCAAAGGGAAGTTATATCCTGTCCTACAGGCTTACTAAGAGTTGGAATTGGCTTGATGGTAATGGGTTTGGCTTGGTTTACTGAAGAATGTGAAGGAGCCTTGGTGGCACAGTGGTTAAGTTTCTGGCTGCTGGCCAAAAGGTCTGCAGTTTGAACCCACCAGCACTCTGTAGGGGAAAGATGTGGCAGTCTGTTTCCATTACGATTATAGCTTTGGACATCCAACAGGGGCAGCTCTACTCTGTCCTATGGGGTGGCTATGAATTGGAATAGGCTCTATGGGAATAGGAAGAACATCAGATGTATAACAATGTTGACAAATAAATGAGGCAATTAGCTAGGCCAAGGGAAAATAAAGATAGAAAAAAAGTGGAGGCAGTAGGTGGTGAGGAGAGCTTATAAAAGCACATCAGGAGGTCCTTCACTTTCTACACAAGGAGGAGCACATGGGCCTCTTCCTCTAAGGTGCTGTCATGTCACAGTTCTTTCCACTTGCTGAGCCCCCATACCACACAATAACCCCTTAAGCCTGGGGAGGGAGAGCGTAAGGAGGGTTTTAGAAGAAGAAATGGGGCAAAGTTGCTTAGGAAGTCTGCTTTTCCACTCAGAACAGACCTTGAGCTGCACTGCAATCACGCCCTCACAGTCTCTCCAATGTCCCGCTCCCAGAATCGCCCCCGCAGACACCGCAGTACTTACCAAGACCCAAGCAAGAAACTCTGAGTCCTGATTTTCCAAGATTCCTAGGAAAAACAACAAAACAACAAATGGTTATCATTTTTCAGGTGTAGTTAGCTTTGAGTATTAGACTTTATTTTGATGATATTATTTTTGACAAGAATAGAAGTAGAGTAATAGTTATTCTACCTAAACATTAACCAGTCCCTCCTCACAAAATCAAACTCATTACCACTGAGCTGGTTCTAACTCATGGAGATCCTTTATGAGGAGAACTGTGCCCCACGGGGTTTCACGGCCGTGGCCTTTTGAAAGCATGTCATCCGGCGTTCCTTCTGATGTGGCTGTGCGTGGATTTAAGCCACCAACCTTCTAGTTCGTAGTCAGGAACTTAACCCTCTGCACCACTTCAGCAACTCATCTCACTGCCATTGACTCAATTCCCACTCTGCCACCAGAGCAATTTCCACTCTGTTGGGCCTCAGCATATGAACAAAATACCCCCACAGGGCACATTTTCTCAGGGCTGGATTATTTCCTTTGCTTCTTTGTTTGCCTATTTATTCTCTCTCTCCCTCTGGAATGTGAGCTCCTGAGGGACAGATCTTTATGTTATTCATCAATCTTTTATCCATTATTCTTCAACAGCGTTTGACACACAGTAGGCACTTAATAAACACTCATTCACTGGCTGATTGATAAGCTGGTTTCTAAAACCGCCTAGTTTTCTAAAGGACAGGGAGTCTTAAAACAACAAAGATGAAAGTATACCTTTGGCTTTCTGAATTCTATGTGTGTGTGGTGAGTGTGTGTGAGAGAGTTAAATATAGCCATATATGTATGATAATGTCATAATAAACACATTTAGTATAAGAGTATACAAAGCAACTATCAGAAGTTCCAATAGCCCTTTAAAAATGAAGTTTCACTTCTCCCAGACTTCTACAGCCCTTGCCACACTAGCTGGGTTGCCTTGGGGAAATCAGTTCTTCTCTCTGGGGGGATTTCTTCATTAGTGAAAGGGGAGATTGGTGCCTGTGCCACCAGTTGTGGGACCAGAACATGATAAAATGTGCTAAGGTGTTGCACAGTAAACACATGCACAGCGCAGTGATTTTGCTGCTTTCCCGCTTGTCCCAGCCCTCACAGACACGGTGCTAAGATTTTCCATATTCATTAGCTACGTCCGACAGAGAGGCAACTATTGCACAAAGGGACAAGTGAAAAATATTTTGAAGTACAAAGTAGGAGACAAACTATTGGAATCCCTTCCCATGAAAATAATCTGCATAAGAAATTATTCCTTCAGTAGCAGCTCAGAAAACCACAGGATGTACAATCAGAAGCACTTTCTTTGTCGTGTGACTGAGTTTTAGAGGAATCTAGAGACAGAGAGCAGAACATGAGGAGAAAGAAAGCCGAAACAAAACAAAGAGAAATACATATTAATATATGCTAATGACATCATTTTCCAGCGAGACCTTCAGCACTCATAAGTCCATAAATATTGACTGAGAGGTCACCATATTCCAGGCAACATACAAGCTCAGGAGGACACAACGTTTTCTTATCTGAAGGAGCTCAGTCTAGTGAGGGACCAGAAAAGCAAGCACATTACTACAGTACAACACATGTGACCACGGAGGGCTTCCACAGCACACAACTATACAAGAGTCATGGGAAAACTGCTTCAGGGAAACCCAAACCCACCTTGGTTCGGGCTGACAGTGACCCGAGGAGGGCAGAGTGGAACTGCCCCGTGGAGTTCACAAGGCTGCACGTCTTTTTGGCAGCAGACAAGCTCATCTTTCTCCCGAAGAGCAGCTGGTGAGTTTGAACCTGACCTTGCACTTAGCAGCCTCATGCTTAACCCACGGTGCCACCAGAGCCCCTTGATCTAGGTAAGAGTTTTCTATAATTATATTTTCCGATCTGAACAACAGGGAGAAAACAGAGTTTCTGGTGCAGAGGAACCAAACCAAACTGTCCTATCAGCCTCTAAAGAGCGGAGACTTTTGGAGAAAAAGAGCGGAGATTTTTGGAGAAACTGAGTAAAAGCAGGGCCATCTCCGAGCACTTGTGAAGCAGCCTGTGAGGAGGTGGGCGCGGCCTTTCCTGTGGCAGCTAACCTGACAGTGCTCCCTGCATTACGGGTTTTGAGGACTAAATTTAAGGATTGCCAGGGAAAAAACCCTGCAAAGTAATAAATACAAATCAGAGTCCATTTTCTTGCCACTGCTGTTTAGATGCCTAAGCCAGATTTTCTAGAGCAAATGCCTTAGCAGATTCTGCAACATAAGAAAGTTCAATGACAAGTACTAAATACTAGGGGGACTAGGTCCCCACATCCAGCCTTAGGATTTTACTTTCCTTTAATTCTCTATTTGCTTTAACTTTTTATCTAAATGGAATTAATTTTCCAATTCAGGTGGTCACTTTTAAAGTGGACACTTGTAAAGTGCACCCATTTTCTGTATGTGGAAGAGCTGGGTATTTAAGGGAAGTGCTTGACTTTGCATGTTTTATGAGACTTCTAGTACCTAAAGCACCTTCAGCACAGTATGACGGCTGCTCTCTTTGCAGATGAAGCGGGTAAGAGGAACTCACAAAACAACAAACCTACCCAAACACCACTGTCATCAAGTCATTTCTGACTCATAGTGACCCTACAGGACAGAGCAGACCTACTCCCGTAGGTTTCTGATGCTGTGAATCTTCATGGGAGTAAAAAGCCTCATCCATTTTCCACAGAGCAGTTGGTGGTTTTGAACTGCTGATCTCACAGTTAGAAGTCTACTACATAATTCACTATCCTATCAGGGCTCCTTAGAGAAACTTGCTCACTCACAGCAATCCAATAGAACAGAGCAGAACTGCTCCTGTGGGTTTCTAAGACTGCAAGTCTTTATGGGAGTAGAAAGCCTCATCTTTCTCCCGTAGTGCAGCTCATGGTTTTGAATTGCTGAACTCGTGGTTGACAGCCACTTCTGGGCAGTTATTGATTACAAAGAGCTCACTGGCATCTCACTTACCCACCTCCTCTGATCCATTTAAGCCTCTGTTGGATAATGGAAGCCTAAATACTTGACTTGTTTGATCTAATGAGTCTGAATATATCAATCAGGAACTGGTTTGCACAAACTCAATACCAAATAATGGTCAAGTTTATGCCTTATGGAGTCCATGGGTTGAACAAACAGTTAATGTGTTAACTGAAAAGTTGAAGATTCGAGTCTACCCGAGAGGTGCCTCGGATGAGCAGGAAAGGCTTGGGGATCAGCTTCCGAACAACACTTTAAAAACCTGATGGAACCCATCACCACCCTGCCACACGGTGAATCTGCAAGAGTCAAAGTGGGCTCTTTGGCAAGGGAGAGTGGCTGTGTCTTTTTATACCTAATGCTAGATGCCCTGGAACCTTCCTTGCCCCCAGGATCCCCGCCCGGGGCATAGTGGTTGTGCATGGTGCTGCTAACTGCAAGGTCAGCAGTTTGAAACCAACAGCCTCAGCAGGAAAAAGGCAGGGCTTTCTACTCTTAGTGCATTCTACCCCCATGAAGAGTTAACATCTCAGAAATCCACAGGGGCCGTTCTACCCTGTCCTATGGGGTCACTATGAGTCGACATCGACTCATTGGCAGTGAGTGGAGGGTTTTTTGGGGGCATGGAGTTTTCATGAGCACTCCCTGAACTTGTGGGACACTGCCACAAAACCACTTTCTAGAATTTTATTTTGTTTCCTGTTCCCTCAATAGCAAGTAAGACTACCTAAAAATGTCAGCACATCACATTTCCAATGAGATTGAATCCCTTTTCCGTAGAATCCAAAATAGTTTCACTGCACTGTTGAAACTATTTTATGTGTGTCATATCTACCAGAGGGGAGTCTCACCATGTCCATTTTTAGTATCTGCTCTTGTTCAACTCAAAATAAAAACTCCTCTTTCCCAGGTGAACCTGAACTGCTCTGCCGCTAATATTAGACACGAACAGCATCCAAATGGGGCGTGAAGCACTGAGCTTTGTCAGTCAAGGTCTGGAAATCAAAAGCAGTAGACCGAAGCCTCAGTAAAGAGCGAGCTAGAGAGGGAACCTAGCTTTTTGCATGCTCCAGGTTGCCCCCTTCCATTCTAAAGGCAGGACCATCCGCTCAGTGGCTTGAGGATGCACTTACGTTAGGGCACAGGGTAGGTCAATGGCATTAAGTATGATCCCAGTGTCCTTTTCTGGAGCAATCACCAGACGCTCTGTTTTATTATAAGACAATAGTAGGGATGCGGGATTTGAAATCAGACACCACTTAGGCACAGTATCATCTTGCCCCTCTGATGCTTGTGGTTGCTCCTTTCCACACCAAACATGCCCAATGCGGAAGATTAGCACCCTAGTGCATTGTTATAAATGGCTTGCTTCTGGATGTGTGTGGCTTAGATATTACTGCTAAAAACTGTCCAGAAGAGAAAAATAGCTGCTGGAAAAAAAAAGTACCTTGCATTTGACCAAGAGAGAAACACAGTGCATGGAGCACAATCACCGGTTGAAAGGTTGACACTACAGGAATGGGTGGTAAGCATTTGCAAGCGTGGCAGTGCCGTGCTGGCTGAGCAAGTGTGGTCTGCCCCTGATGTGGCTCAGGAGCTGACCTCACCAGCCATTTCCATCTAGGTAGGCATCTCCCTGTCCTTCTGAAGAACACTCGCCTGTGTGCCATGCTTTACCTGGAAGTGACTGGCCAAATCCAAGGTTCAAACTTTCCCCCCTTTTATTAAAGAAATACACATTTTGCTTTCTTTGAAGCACCCAGAGCAGAAGACAGTGATTTGCTGGTCAGCAGACTGGTGGCTGCAGAAGAAGGCACATTTTGACAGTTATGAAGGTGGTTACAAGTGGTAATAACACTTTCTTAGGAGAGCGCCATTTGTCACTATTGGTAAGTGAATAATGACTTCCTTGGAAACGAGGCATGTACATGATTTAGAGATGCATTTCCTGACAGGCACTCACAGGCAGCACCAGGAACCTTGATTTCTCTCTTGTCTTTCTGTAAGTGGCAAGAAGGTAGTTT